TTTGAGTCAAAGTTTATCCATTCCTTTTACCCAAGGTGGGATAAAAGCAATATCTGTGGGCCCCCTCGATGATTTATGATGACAAAGGAAAGTGCTCGGCCAGTCCAGGACTGATTTGATTTGTTCAATTAGCCAGTCGTCATAAATCGGAAATCGGGAAACGACACATAGACTGAGAGAATGATTTCAATCCATGTCTCATGTCTATACGATATCTTGTAGAATGGAGGAATATATGATCCCTTATCTAAAGGACACGCGTATCTGATAAGATCAGAGTTGACAGCGGCTTTTGAAAGCTACGATTGCTGATCAGGTTCTGAAGTTATTCAAAATAGTTATTAGACTTATCCAAGTGGGAGACTGTTGGATTAATGTCTAAGTCCATAACTATTTGGGTATGTACTTGACCCGATTATGAGCATGGTCCTTTTGGGTTGCCTTCACCATAGCAATATGTAGGATGAATTAAGGAGAGAGAGGTTTAATTATGATTTATTAATATATTATAAGAATAATATATTAAAGGAGAAATCATAATGTTTAATTGATATTAGTCAAGAATTAATTAAGAATTAATTTTGTGGCTAAAAGAGATTAATTAAACTTAAGGGGCTTGTTGTGTAATTATAAGATAATTATATAATTGGGATATGGATCACCTTGGAATAATAGTTTGGACGAATTCTAAGGGGAAGCCCATTAGAAATCGTCCAAGGCATGTTCCAGAAGGGGTCCATGGGCTGCTTAGGGCTTAAGCAGCTAGATTAGGGTTTCCTAGTTGAAACCCTAATAGCCTACATGTATATAAAGGACCCTTAAGCCCCAAAAACGTGAACAAGTAATCCTTTAGGGGTTTCCAGCCGTTTTTGGTGCCTCCTCTCTCCTCCCTCTTCATCCAAGTTGCTTAGTGGTGTTTGTGACTCCATTAGAGGTGCAACACTTGAGGCACTAAGCTTTCTGAAGCCAATCAAAGCAAGGATTGATTGTTATTGCTATATAACAATCAAAGGTAATTACTAAACCCTTATTTCAGTTCTTATTTGATAGATCTAGGGTTTGTAAGTCTTGGATTCATTGCATGTACAATAGAGAAACCTAGATCCAAGCATTAGGGTTTGTATGAGCACATAGGATTGTTCTTATGCCTAAAACCCATCAGAGAGCACCGCATGCATCACACTAATAACTAAGAAACTAATATAACTTAGTGAGTTAGTAACTATACTACTCAACACTATGTGTTAAGTTTACCGTACTTTTCGTCACAACTAGTAACAGTAAAATCAAGAGAGATACTCCCTTCCCAAAACCCATGAAACCCGATCAACTTAAGATTTCAATATCTATACTCTACCTTGTTAGACTTAACTTTGACACAGTAACTATTTCTACTCTCTACATCATAGGGATGTAAGTCGAAACATTGAAAATCGTACAACAAAACGAGAAATTTATATGTATATATAAATAGATAAAGTACAACTAGAAACGACCATAATTACTTATCGACTCGTTTCACATCATGTAACAGAATCATGTCTTCACATGGAAATAACCGGCCAACCGACGAAACCCCGATCCTACATATAGACTCCGCTACATTCCAAGCCGCCGTAACAGCTGCTGTGACAGCTGTCATGGCGCAATCCAATGCTAACAACCCAAACGAAAATAGAAACAATGTCGACACTTCAAACCGTAGTGACAACCAAGGAAAACAACGAGTGACCATCTACAATTATACTCCAAAAAACAAACCTAAGAACAAGAAACGAGAGTTATGGATCAAGAAAGGGAGCAGTTCGACCCAAGGGTCTACCAAGAAGCAACAGATAAAGACAGTCTGTGCTACTACTGTTCCTGCTACCCTTACACCAACAAATCGATATGCTGGAAACCTACCGAATTGCAAGAAATGCAATTTCCATCACACAGGAAATTGCCGCAAAATACACTGTAAGAACTGCAACAGAAAGGGCACACACTCATTTTTGCAGGTCACCGGCACAACCAACCACCTAAGTTCCCGGCGTTGGAATAAGCCAAGCTTGTTATGGGTGTGGCGAATCTAGACATTTCAAAAGAGATTGTCCAAAGACGAGGAATGACAAAGAAGCTCGTTTCTGTAGGACTTCGACCCAACACATCACTTCAACCACCGATGCTGGTACAAGTCAAGTGTGCTATACATGTGGTGAAATAGGAGATCTCAAAAAAGATTGTCTAGCCGAGAGGAATGATGGAGGAACAGGAGGAATTAATGACAAGACATAAGGAGCAACGAGGAACCTACTAGTATCTTTGGTACGTTTCCAATTAACAATAATTAAGCGTTGAATTTTCACAAAAGTTTTTGACAATTAAAAATTAAAATCATAAATGGCCTTTTCGTTCAAATTAACACATCATTCATATAAAAACTAAGGATCCTTGCAGGTGAGCTATGATGGCATAGTGTATACACTAGAGTCATTTATAATTAAGATTTGTAGGCTTAGAGTGAGTGATTCCGCCTCATTTCCTGTTCCTTGTCTGGTTGTGGATTTAGGGCAGAGTCACTCAGTCGACTGTCTTTCCAATCTTAATTATACATGACTTGTATACACCAATTGATTATAGAAGGACCTGGTAGGGATTATTTTATGAAAGTTAATTATTTTCAATTATCAGAACACTCGTACGACTAATACTCGCTAAATGCGATACAAAATGTTCGCAGTAGTAATAACAAGGATAAAACTGAAAGTACTGAAAATATATACATAGAATAGTTCATCGTTCTAGCAATCATTCATTCCAAATCGACTTGAAATCCGTTACTATAAGAAGTTCTGACGTCGTCATTCGACGTGAATTGTTTTGGTCCTCACCATACCAATTTCCTGTGCTACGTAAAAACCCTTCGCCTTAAACGACCGTCTAACGAAATCCTTTCAACTTGTAATGACAAAACCGACATAAACCTCCGTATCGTCTCTCGTTTCAAAACTCAGAACTACCCATGCGAGGGGTACCACGACTTTCTAGCTTATCCCGTAGACAAGAAACTTAAAGTGAAACACACCGAGCATGTTCCAGAAGTCCATAATCTTCCCGAAGTATCCTCAGCATACTTCCTAGGAATACCACTCATACATCAAGTCAAGTTCGAGAATAGAGACTAAGAACCCATGCGGCAAACCTATCATTGCGAAGTGTATACGCAAGGGTGGTATATAATTAAGATTCAACAGATTTAGGATGTATGATTCCGCCCTACCTCCTGTTCCTTGTCTGGTTGTGGACTTGGGGCAGAGCCACCCATCCGAACGTCTTTTCAATATTAATTATATACGACTTGTATACAAGAGGTAATGATAGATAATCCAAGTATGAGTTCTACCATGAACTTCAGGACAAAAGCTGCCCAAAACTACGAGTGGACCTCCTACCAATTGGATAAACGTAGTCAAGTAAGCCAAACCCACACTCTCTCTACCGATCAGAACAGAAGATCAGATAGAACCGAAGTACCCACCTCTCTCCCTAGTTCATGAGTAACTACTTAGGAGTTGAATTTCGGGACGAAATTCCCTTTAACGGGGGGATAATGTCACAACTCAAAATTTTAGACCTATCATGGTCTAAACCCTAACCAAGTACTAGTGTAAACTACATTGCAATCCATGGTGCATTGTATCCCCTATGGCCATTAGGACATGTTTATAAACTAGTAACTAAGAATAGATTGGAAACTAATTTAGGTTAAGCAAGTAAATCCATATCATAACATTAATACCATAAGAACTTGAATACCTTAAGGACATGTTTATATAAGTTATTTTATATACATACCTTGTAAATCATATTTATTTACAAGTTATGAACACTTATATTGAAACTATACATTTATAACTCAATATACAAGTCAAGATAAGTTAAGGAGTTAAAGTTTAAAGCACAAAATGACACACCACATTGAGTTCACAGTCCAAGAACATCTAGAATATGAGTTCATAGTCTAATGTTTGAAACCAAAAGGTGTTCACGGTTAGAATTCAAACCGTGAACCCTCTTAAAGGAACTTAATTGGAGCAAAGGTCAAACCGTGAACTCATTAAGAAATGAAGGTCAAATCGTGAACTCATTAAGGAATAGAATTCAAACCGTGAACACCTAATTAGAATGAAATCAAACCGTAAACCCTTCACCATTTGATGTTTCTAGACCGTAAACACTTCTTTTTGGAAGTATATAAACGTAAACACCATTTGATGGCTCTGCCCCTTAGACCCTGCCAGGGGCTGCCGTCCCTTGGACCCCGCTCCCAGGGGCCCTATCCCCGGACCCCCGTCAGTTCAGGGGCTTCACCCCTAAATAGCAGTATACTTTCAACAATGACAAAATCAAACAAATGTGCACTCCACACCATACTAATTTGTTCGATAATTGTCAAAATGATATTGATCAACAAATTAACCCCATTACACTTAAATATATATTAGTGATATAAAATCACAACACATACAACCCAACCAAGAAGTACTATAGCAACCAGCCCAAAGATGCATCTTCAGCGATTCCCACGTGATTACTTAGTCAAAGCTCTTGTGATGTTTCATTTATTTTCTACACAAACATTCCCATTATTAGGTTAAAGCTTCATTGTTGCACCCACGATCTCCAAGATTTGTGTTAGCACTCCGTTTTTAATGTATTTAAGTTTCATCTTGCATGAATGGAAAAACATCAAAAAAATGTTCCGAGTCTCTGTTTTTCTTTTTTGTACTCTTAGGAGATTCACCATGTCAAATAGCTCTTATCATTGACGGTATGATTTTATAATAAGAAACAATTATCGGTGAAATTTACTAAACATTAGATGCATTATAGTTTTCTTCTTTTACCGACTTTTACTTCTTTTTGACTAATTGGGCCGGCTCGTTGAGGGCCTCCATGCTGGTAATCTTTGTAAGCCTATTTCCCTCGTTCAAAATACATGGCAAGTAAATTAGCGTTGGGGGCACGTGCCCCGATATCTTAAAGAGTGCGTCCGCCCGTCGCCTACTCCTCCATTTCCTTCTCCTATCTGGCTATCTCCAGCTTCGAATTAACGCCTCCACTGATTCTACTACTTCGAAATTGGTACTTTTAGTTTTCTCCTTCACCTTCTCCGATTTCAAGCATTTTTTCTTCGAAATTGGGTACTTTTAGTTTACTCCTCCTCCTTCCCCGATATCAAGCAATTTTGTTTTTATTTTTGTGTATCTGATACTTTTATCAGTATATTGAGATTGTTACAGAAATGTTTGGATTGTTTCAGAAATGCATGGATTAGTTCAGAAATGCTCCAGAATTTCTAGAAAATTGGGGTTTTAATCTGTTGCAGTGTATGAGTTTTAAGCACGTAATTTTCAAAAAATAGAGATTTTACTGTGTTGGGGTTTAAATCTTAGTAGCTTTACTGTGTAATTTGTTTAAGAAGTTTTAGATTGTTTCAGAAACGTTTGAGTTTTAATCACGTATATAGTTGTAGAAATAACCCTTCTGTTCACCCCATATATTTATACTAGAAAGTGTTGAGAAATTAATGTTACATCATTCTTTTGAAGCTTTTGAAGTATTCATGGAAATCGGATCTTGCATTAAAGTTCAAAATGGCAGCTGTCCAACATCATACTTAACTCGCGCAAGTTACCTCCATGAACAATCTTATTCAATCCAAAATCGCACTTCAACTCCTTCATCTTATGTGACACTTCCTCGCAAAAATTGCACTTGCAAAGCAACTTTAAAGGAGGCCAATAGCAAGATTGAATCCGTAGAAAAGGTAAAACCTTTTCCTAATTCCTATTACTTTATCTATTTACTATAATTTCTACATATGCTTCTTCTCTACATTTCCTGAAAAGTTACATATGATTTCAGGTAAAAGTGAAGCCTTCTGAATTTTCTTCAGACATTGAGCTCTCGAGTTTAACTGCTATAAGTCCCTTGGATGGGCGTTATAGGAATAAAGTCAAAGATTTATCCCACTATTTGAGTGAATATGGTCTTATCTACTATCGCACCCTGGTTGAGGTATCATTCTGAATACACAAAATCCAATTCACTAAAAGTAATATAAAAATTTGTTTTGATGTTTTACTTTTTTTATACCTTAGGTAAAGTGGCTACTAAAGCTCTCACAGATTCCTCAAGTATCTGAAGTTCCAAGCTTTAGCAATGAATCCCAAAAGAAATTACAAGAACTAATTGATGGATTTAGTAATGATGATGCAATGCAAGTGAAGAATATTGAGAAAATAACTAATCATGATGTAAAAGCAGTTGAGTATTTTCTTAAAACAAAGTGTCAAGAAGATCCACAGATAGCTAAGGTCAGTGTCAATGTCAGTGTCAGTGTATCTTTTAAGGTTTAATGCAAGAAATAACAACATTTTACTCTTAAAAAAATGTACAGGTGCTTGAATTTTTTCATTTTGGTTGTACATCAGAAGACATAAACAACCTTGCTCATGGTTTAATGCTTAAAGAATCATTAAACTCGGTTATTCTTCCAGTGATGGATGATTTAATTAATGCAATATTTACCATGGCAAAAGCCAATGCTCATGTTCCTATGCTTTCTCGTACTCATGGACAGGTAAATGAAATCTTTTTGTTTTTTTTTAAATATAAAAATCTATAAATTTAAAAGGGTAATTAATAATTTATTTTGTATGTTGTTATATATAGCCAGCTTCACCTACAACTTTGGGAAAGGAAATGGTGATATTTGCTGAAAGATTAAGCAGAGAAAGACATGATATTTCAAAAGTAGAAATATTAGGGAAATTTGCAGGAGCTGTTGGTAATTACAATGCACATGTGGTGGCATATAATGATGTAAATTGGCCAAAAATTGCAGAGGAATTTGTAAACTCTCTTGGATTAAGCTTTAATCCACATGTAACACAGGTATTCCTTAATCTTCAATTATAATTTATAAAATAAAACATCTATATTTGTATTCTGTAGTTGCTTACAATGTTTCTAAAACAACCCTATTTGTGATGCAGATTGAATCTCATGATTACATGGCAAAACTTTTCCATTCATTTATTCGATTTAATAACATCTTGCTTGATTTTGATAAAGACATATGGGGGTATATCTCTGTGGGATACTTTAAACAGGTGGATTTTTCAAGAATCTTTGTGATAATTTTGACTACTTAAAATCAATTTTGGGCTATTGATTGACATTTTAAAAATATTGTGTAGGTGACTAAGGCTGGTGAAATTGGGTCATCGACTATGCCTCACAAAGTCAACCCCATTGACTTTGAAAACAGTGAAGGAAATCTTGGAATTGCTAATGCAATTTTAGACCATTTAAGCATGAAGTTACCTATTTCACGTTGGCAGGTATATTAATTTATGAGCAAATTGCAAAATCGGTCCCTGTGGTATTCCAAAGATTGCAGTTTGAGTCCATTTTGTTTTTTCATTCGTATGGACAGTCCAAAATTGAAACTGCCATGCAGATTTCGTCTCTCGAGTTAACTGCCGTCTAAAAAAAACTCAAATTGCACTTTTTGGGATACCTCAGGGACCAATTTTGCAATTTAATGAAAAAATGGACTTAAACTACACTTTTTGGGATACCACAGGGACCAAATCTGCATGGAAGTTTCAATTTTGGATAGACCATACGAATGAAAAAAAAGGACTCAAACTGCACTTTTTGGGAATACCACAGGGACCAATTTTGTAATTTAATGAAAAAATAGACTCAAACTGCACTTTTTTGGGATTACGCAAGGACCAATTTTTCAATTTAATGAAAAATGGACTCAAACTGTACTTTTTGGGATATCACAGGGACCAAATCTGCATGGAAGTTTCAATTTTTGACTGGCCATACGAATGAAAAATAAAGGACTCAAACTGCACCTTTTGGGATAACACAGGGACCAATTTTGCAATTTAATGAAAAAATGAACTTAAACTGCACTTTTGGGATAACACAGGGACCATTTTTGCAATTTAATGAAAAAATGGACTTAAACTGCACTTTTTGGGATACCACAGGGACCAATTTTGCAATTTAATGAAAAAATAGACTTAAACTGCACTTTTTGGGATACCACATGGACCAATTTTGCAATTTAATGAAAAAGTCGACTCAAACTGCACTTTTTGGGATGCCACAGGGACCAAATTTTCAGTTGACAAAATTACAAAAATGGTCCCTGTGGTTACCAAAAGTCACAAAGTCAGTCCCTATTAATTTTTTTTTGATGCAAATGGTCCTTGTGGTTTGCGAAACTTGCAAAGTTGGCCCTTTTTACTAACATCGTTAGTAAAACGCCGTTAGGGACTAATTCTGTAAGGGCATTTTCGTCTTTTCAAGTATAGAAGGACTGAATTCGTGACATTTGAGAAACCACATGGACCATTTTTGAAATTTGTTTGAAAAACTAAATTAATTTGCTGAAGGTAGGGGGAAGGCTCAAACTAACGACCTCCACTCCCCTCTATTTGACCAAAACCTAACCAGTTGAGCTGATTGCTCGGTTGGTTATAACACCCTAAAACTAATTTATATAATAACAAAAACGTTAATATTTAAATTAAAGATAAATTACAAAAAACATTTTTTTTACATAATTTTTTTTTAAATAAAACAAAAAGTATTTTAATCGTATTATAAAAAAAATTGTTTTTTTACAAATAATTTGTATGTATTTTTATGTATTCATTTTACGTAAATTTTTTTTTTGTTTCTTTAAAAAATAAGTTTTCGTATAAAAAAAATATGTTTTCGTATATTATATTTTTATGTCTTTGAAATAATAATAATTAACACTATTCATGACATAAAAAAATGTATAAATTATGTTGAGCCGCTAGTTCTAAAACCATTTTTTCGGTTATATGTATTAAAAACAACTTAAAAACGATTATGTTATGTATCTAAACAATTTATATGGTTTTTTTTATGTCAAGAGTACTATTAATTATCGTTATTTTAAAAAGATATATCACTATTTCTTTTCATCTTCATTTCAATCATACGATTTAGAACTTGCAATTAAGATAAAATACGTATTTTAAATAAGATATATAACCGAATAGGTTTTTTTATGTTTTTTTTAAATACATATAACCGAAAAACGGTTTTCAGAAAACTGATTGGTTGGTCCAATCGGTTTTCTGAAAACCGTTTTTCGGTTATATGTATTTAAAAAAAGATGAAATACGTATTTTAGAACTAGCGACCCAAAAGAATTAATATATTTTTTTATGTCATGATTAGTGTTAATTATTATTATTTCAAAGACATAAAAAAATATAATATACGAAAACATATTTTTTAAAGAAATAAAAAAATATATTTTATGTAAAATAAATGCATAAAAATACATACAAATTATTTGTAAAAAACAATTTTTTTTTATAATACGATTAAAATACTTTTTGTTTTATTTAAAAAAAAAAGTTATGTAAAAAAAATGTTTTTTGTAATTTATCTTTTATTTAAATATTAACATTTTTGTTATTATATAAATTAGTTTTAGGGTGTTATAACCAACTGAACAATCAGCTCATTTGGTTAAGGTTTTGGTCAAATAAAGGGGGGTGGAGGTCGAGAGTTCGAGCCTTCCCCCCTACCTTCAGCAAATTAATTTATTTTTTCAAACAAATTTCAAAAATGGTCCCTGTGGTTTCTCAAATGTCACGAATTCAGTCCTTCTATACTTGAAAAGACGAAAATGCCCTTACAGAATTAGTCCCTAACGGTGTTAGTAAAAAGGGCCAACTATGCAAGTTTCGCAAACCACAAGGACCATTTGCATCAAAAAAAATTAATAGGGACTGACTTTGTGACTTTTGGTAAACCACAGGGACCATTTTTGTAATTTTGTCTTTTCAGTTTAATGAAAAAATGGACTTAAACTGCACTTTTTGGGATATCACAGGGACCAATTTTTTAATTTAATGAAACATGGACTCAAACTGTACTTTTTGGGATACCACAGGGACCAATTTTGCAATTTACTCTAAATTTATCATGTAAATATATTTTTTTACTCTTGACCCTCCATTTTCATTAAAATTACAGCGTGACTTGACTGATTCTACTGTTTTGAGAAACATTGGTGTGGGATTGGGTTATTCACTTCTGGCTTACAAGAGTGCATTAGTTGGAATCGGGAAGCTTCAGGTAATAAAATGATTAAATTTGTGGTTTATTTTATTTTATTTTATATTATTATGTTAAGATTTTAATATTTTAATTGTGTGGTAGGTGAATGAAGCTGCCTTAAACAAGGATCTGGACAACTCATGGGAGGTTCTTGCTGAACCGATACAGACAGTATGTATCTGTATCTGGCTTTCGTATTTTATATCTTAATTGAAAATAGTTTTTATTTATTTATTTTTGTGTTTGTGTGTAGGTGATGAGAAGATATGGTGTTGAGGAGCCTTATGAGAAACTGAAGGAGCTTACGAGAGGAAGAGTGGTTGATAAAGAGAGGATTACTGAATTCATTAAAGGGTTGGAAATACCGGTTGAAGCAAAAACAGAGCTTTTAAAGGTGACACCACATAATTATGTTGGGGTTGCAGCTCAATTGGTGGAGGAAGCGTGTTTTAGGGCTAATAATAATGGATGTGGTGAATAGGTTGATTTTAAGGTGATTTTATTCGGTTTGTGGTTATGAATAATTGTTGAGGCTGTTGGTTTGTGAAATTGGATGCTTCTAAACCTTCTTTTAACATCCATGAACAGGAGCAATGGATGCGATAATGAATTCCTAGGTGAGTTCTTTTTGTTAACATCAATTAATCAAAATTCAAACAATGCATTCATCACTACCACTAACATATTCCCCCTAGAAATGAATACGAGTCAATACTCATAATTGCTCATTACCATGAAGCGTTTTTCTAAACCATAAAACGAATCAACATTCATTTTTCTAAGCTTCCATCTCAACATACAAACCAGTTTTTCACAAGTGGAGTGATTGACAAGGGATGATATAGTTAATAAACCCGAATTCTTTTCTGATAACCTTTAGATAACATCTTTCAGTTAATCAATATTACTTCACCTTTTAACCAAGTGAAAATCGAGAGGAATAGGTTTAAAACTTACACAATGAGTCGCTATCTGAAAAATTAGTTGGGGGAAAACTTCAAGTAGCATATATAGATATATATATATATATATATATATATATATATATATATATATATATATATATATATATATATATATATAGGTTGAAGTGTTTAAAGTAATTATTGTATAATTGTATGCATAAATGTGGGTTAATCAAAATTAAATAAAAAATTAAATAACTAAATAAATAAATCAGGGTAATTTAGTAATTTGTTTAGTAAGTTCCAAAAATAATCTCTATAATTATGGTATTGACTTATAACCTAAATAAATAAGCGTGTCTTCAATCTCCCACCCGATAAAGCCCTAGCATCGACGCTTTCAGTGTTTGGAAACCCCTCACTGATCATTCAAAAATAATCGATGGGGGAAAACCTTTTCATCTTCATCTGATCATGATAACGCAACCCTAACAAAATAGAAGAAGGGTGGCTTGGATTTGTAACCGGTCGGTAACAGCAGTAGCAGTGACGGAGGCACCGTAGCAGCGACGATGGACGCCGGTGATCAACGGTGACCGACGAGCGGTGGGTTTCCTTCGACGGTGAGCGACGATGCGCTCTTCTCGGTCGGCTGCTAGGTGTGAAGGAATGAAGATGAAAAGGGCCTGAAGAAGCGACGCAAATAGCAATGGCCGGAGCAACAAAGGTTCGTCAGTCGGCTTCGCAAGTCGATGTGGTCTCGGGGCTTTGTGGTCGATGGGAACATCAGAGAAGGAAGAAAACGAGGGGAAAAGGGAGGACCTCTGGGGTTTGGCTAGACCGAAGGAAGAAGCAACGAAGCTTTGTTTCTAGGGTGGTGGCAGTCGGCATTTCCGTCTGCTTTTTTGAGGTTTGTTTCTGTTTTTTTTTTTTTGCTTGTTTTAGACAGAAATCAATAGACGGAAAAGATGGGTGTTTGGGTTTGTTGTTTTTACAAGGAAGTGAACATGAAAATGGGGCTATTGACCATTGAAACATAAAGGGGAAGGGGGAGTTGCAGTGAAACAGGTGAGCAGGGGGCTGTTTCTGTAGTCCCTTCGTTCTTCATCTTTTTTTTTGTTTAATTTTTAATGGTAATGGAAGCAAGAAATCAGTGGCTTTTGCTTGTGGAATCGGTGATGAGCAAGGATGACCAAGAGAGGGTTGTTGCTCTCTTGATTACTGGGAATTTACCCATCTCTAGTGGTGTTCTTTGGCAGGAAAACAAAGGAGAAGAACAGGGAAGGCTTTGGTTGCTTCATTTGACAGAAAAGAGAAGGAAGAACAATGGTGATGATCTCTTCTTTGATTGGGTATGTTTCTTTTGATTGAGTTTTACTAGTTAAATAGATAAAAAAATCAATTCTCTTGATGATCTTATTGTATAGTTGTGAATTTTGATAGATATGGAGTACATTGTGATCTAAGGGAAAGAAAACATAAACGTGTGGTACAATTCTTGAGATTGACATGAAGAAGATAAAAGGAATCATGAATTCCAATTCTATTGGAATGGAATCATGAATTCCAATTCTGTTGAAATCTAAACTACAATTTGGTTTTGTTTTCACAGAAGTTGATGCTTGAAGAACGGACCGCAAAATTGAAAGTGATTCTAAGCAACATTATTCTTTTAGAATGTATTAGTGCCGTTGTTAGATTTTGATGTTTTCTTTCCCGTTTTGAAAGTTTTTTTAGTTTTATTCTTTAACAATAAATGTAATTCTTAACAATTGTTACTCGTATTCTATAAGAAATAATGTGTTTTTTGTGTTTTTATTCTTCAATTAATTGTTCAAGAATTTGTTATTCTACAAGAAGTTTTTAAAGTCATGATCAATAAATAGGTTCAAGAATATTTTTATTATTTATGGTTCAAGAATATTTTTATTTTTGAATATACTCAAAAACACATTATGTCAGAATGTCCGAATTAAAAGAATTATAATTCGTAAAATCGGATTTTTAAATTTAATAGAATCTATGATCCCTTAAAATATGCAATTTTCCTTTATTAAATCTATATTAATTGACTAAAATACACTTGTAATTAAATTAGATGATATTTTTCAATTATATTTAATTCAATAATATATATTAATCACTTTCTTAAAATAAGTAAAATTGATTGACCTACATTTATGCATACAATAACACACTAATTACTTTGAATAGAACAACCTAAGCATATATATATATATATATATATATATATATATATATATATATATATATATATATATATATATATATATATCGGTTGAGAACTCATATTTTCCCGAACACCCGAGAACTAAAAGTGGAGCGTTGGATTAAAAGTAATTCATTAAGGACATGATCGTCATCTTACCAATCTCATTTAATGTTTAATTTTTTTGTGTTATTTAATATATTAATACAAATGTCTAAAAATTTACATCATCAATCAAATTTTTAGATTTTTTTAACTATAGTATTTTTCGTTTTTTTTTAAATGCAGATTTTTTAATTTTTTTATAGAAAACATGAATTTTTGAAAAAAAATTGAAAAAAAACTGCAATTTTTTTTGAAGAAAACTGCATTTTTTTTCAAAAAAAAAAACTGCATTTAAAAAAAACTACAATTTTTTCAAAAAAAACTGTATTTTTTTTTAAAAGAAGTAAATTTTTAGGTGCATATATGCATATTTTTTCAAATGCGCGCGCGCACACACACACACACACACACACACACACACACACACACACACACACACACACACACACACACACACATATATATATATATATATATATATATATAGATATATATATATATATATATATATATATATATATATATATATATATATATATATATATATATATAAAGGTTGCAGAAATCGGTAATCGGCCGCTAATCGATGGACTAGCAATTAGGGATTAATCGGTTAGGCGGAGATTAATCGGGGACCATTAATTCTTAAGAAAATTATTCAAAAATTTATAAATCTAACTTTAATCCTCCAAAAAAGTGATTAATCGGCGATTAGGTCCGATTAGGTCCGATTTTGACCTGCATTGACCAAACCCGATTAGGTCCGATTAATTCCGACTTAACCTGCATTGACCAAGCCCGATTATAGTGACCGATTAACAATAAATCTCATCGGCAGAGGTCCGATTAGCGATTAATCGACCGATTAGGCCGATTTCTGCAACACTGATATATATATATATATAGATATATATATATATATATATAGATATATATATATATATATATATATATATATATATTTCTTATACTATAATATTCGTAAGTAATCACAAAAAATCTCATTTTTATTAATTAATCTATAAAAAATGCTACAAATTTCAAAGCGTTTTCATGTCTTCGTGTCAATATTTCCTTATTTTCTTCAATTTATCATTTTTCACCTCTTCAATATTCACCACAATTTCTTCCAAATCTACAAGAAAATTAAAAAAAAATGGTTGATGCAAAAACACTCATAAAAATACATATGTGGTTAACATATGAATCACATGCGATTCACATATGAATCACATGCGATTCACATGCGATTCAAATGTAATTTATATGTGAATCACATGCAATTCATATGTGATTTACATGTGAATCACATATAATTCGTATGTGATTCACATGTGAATTATATGTGATTCATATATAAATTACATCCGATTTACATGTGAATCATATGTAATTCACTTGTGATTTACATGTGAATCACAAATAATTCATATGTGATTCACATGTGAATTACATGTGATTCATATGTGAATTACACGCGATTTACATGTGAATCACATGTTATTTACTTGTGATTTACATGTGAATCACATGTAATTCAAATGATCAAAAGTTGTTATGTTGTGAACAAAAAGAATTAAAGTTAACCATTTACATGTGAATCACATGTAATTCATATGTGATTAACTTGTGATTCATATTTGAATTACATGTGAATCACATGTAATTAATATGTAATTTACTTGTGATTTACATGTGAATCACGTGTAATTCATATGTGATTCACTTGTCATGTGTGATCAAATGGTAAATTAACAAGGTCAGAAATGTCCTGAAGTAAGTTTTAGAACCAACAACCTGGTTTAGCAAGTTTTTAATTTACAAGTTTCTCATTTTGACTTTACGTCCAAAGTTTTTCATTTCTTGTTGGAATATAATCAGGAGTACTAATCATACCAAATCTCAAGTAAAAATTTGGAACTAAAAGAAGTAAATGCATTTTATTCTTAAGTTGTGAACAATTAGTATAGTTCAAGAGACTCACTTTTGACAGCCAGAACCCCTGAACCAACAATCAATCCACTGGAAGCAAACGGATGTGCAGCAACAAAGCAAACACCCTCTGTTGACATGTAGGGGTAAAATATAAACAATGTAGAAATTCTAAAGTTTGTAAGCAAGAACAGGTATCTGGAAGCGCATCTGAAAACTTAGGCAATAAAAGTTTAACTAACTTAAGAAGTTTACCTCATACAATTCATGAAAAAGAGCCAGAAGAACGCAAACCAACCAATAAAAATATCAACAAACTGTTGTTTCCTGTTATTGCCAGTGTTCCTCCTCATGCTACAGTCAACAATATAAAATCCTTGCACTCTCAAAATCTTGATGTTTCCAATAATGTTGTTCCTAGTATTGTCAAAGTGGAGCATCCATCATGGGACATTTCCAAAAATCACGTGAATTGTAATGATTTGGTATTCCCTATGACTGTTAACATAGGCTTTTCTCTAACACCGTAAATTTTCAAACAAAAATTTCGTTTAAATCACATAATTCTCATAACACATTTCACAAAATCTCATTTATTTAATTCACAAATCACAACTCCATAAATGTTTAATTAAGACTCCAGGATCCTCAAAACATAACTCTTTCTCTGGTGTGTACAATCAAGCCGACGCCTTCCCGCGATCCTGAGAAAACCTGAAACACATATCACATAACACGGTAAGCACGAAGCTTAGTGAGTTCCCCAAAATACCACACATATCTCATTAGCCTCTCATGGCTATAATTCAGATAAGACCCTCCGATCAATGTGTCTCAGTGGGACCCTCCGGTCCCACAACTCGGGTGGACCCTCCGGTCCTAACTCAATAAAGCTCAGCATAACACACAACATAAATCACAAAGACATAATGAAAGATATCACAATACTCAATATAAGCACATAAGACCCTCCGGTCACACAAATTACCACTCAAGGTATGTATAGTGAGAAGACTCACCTCGGATGATGAACGACTCCTATAGACACTGCTGCTACGCACCGACCACTAACTCTGTGCCAAACCCACAATTATCCCAATTAGGAACTAAGCCAAAACTCTCACTCATTAGGTCTAAAGGTAGTCCACTTTCCAGCCCATTAATGACCTAAAATCCATTGGGCCCACCAAGGCCCAATAATAGATGGGCTCTCCCAAGGCCCAATTTTCAATCTAAATGGCAAGCCCAACTCAAGGGCCCAAAGCACAATATAATATTTCTCTGGTAAAAGTCACTAATACACAAGCCCAAAGACCCAGGCCCAACCCTTAAGGCCCAATAATAAATTCAACCCAAAAGCCCATAGAGGGGTTACGCGGGGCGTACCTCCCTTGGTACGCTCATCGTACACTAGCATGCACAATTTGATCGGGGACACCAACCCAGTACGCGGGGTGTACTGGAATTACGCTGATCGTTCGCCCAGTTTTTCTTATTCCATTTTTCTTAGTCTTAGCCCGTTAAGACCTTAGCTCATCTCTCAGATCTGGACTCCCTAATATCTCTTACTCCATAAAGTCAGTGACTTTAAGCCTTTGCATGGCTGATAAAGTCACAAACACACAAAACCCTCTCTCTCTCTTAACTTAAAATGCTCATATCTCATGCATGGGCTGATTCTCACGTTCAAGACCTCATTTTTATGGATCCTCTCCACTAGGGACACTTGAAAGGACAAATAAAAAGCTCTGGAGTGCAACAACTCATAAAGCCTCAAGCTTTGGGACCAAAAACCCTAAATACTCTAATATAATGCTCAAAACAAAAGAGTGAGAAAGATTGAAGCTTTATACCTCAATATGAAGCTTCCAACTCAGATATGCTCAGATCCAAGGCCTGGACTTCTCACTCCTTCTTCTCCAAAGCTCCTTCTTTACTCCAAGAACACACCAAATTCACTCAAGGCTCTCAAAGGCACTCACAAGCTCCATGAACGAAGGATTAGAGTTTTAGAGGGTTTATTGACTGAGGATGGTGGCCAGGAATGAGGCCATCTCATTCATTATATAGGGACACATCCAGAGTTAGGGTTTCCACTCTGTGCCTAGTACGCCCAACGTACTAGGTGGCTCCGCTTGAAAATCACGCACACGAGTACGCTAAGCGTACACATATGTACGCCCAGCGTACTCAGCTGCCACCATTCTCAAATAACGGACTGATCCTACCAAAACTTCAAACTTTCATTGCTTCCTCAATATAACCCCGATTCCCATGAACCTCAAACCCACAGAAAGGTGACGCGATACCCTACGCTCCTAGTAACTCGTCGCAACCCCGAGACCTCCTCATGCCCGGTTTGCAGCCCACGAATCCTAATCACAGACGATCCGAAACTGGATGTTACATTTTCATTGGACTATTCTCTACCCTCGGGTTTTAATCCTTCATAAACACACATCCTTTGGAAGAAGAAAATGTTGTTTCAGGGAGTAATGTGAATCATGCTATTATTACTCCAATACAATCAACCGAGAATGAGAATCTTAATTTATCACTTGTCACTGTGGCCTCTCTAGAAAATGAAGTTCATCAAAGTGGAACTAGTTTTGAAGAAGATGATAAAACTAAGGTCAAAAGATTAATTAGTGAATTCTTTAAGATTGGCGATTTGGTGAGAGATATTGTCGATTCTAGGGTTTACGCTATGGTTTTATTGTAATCACCGCCTGTTGAACAGCGTATTCGACCCATTCAACGGCAGAATCACCGGAAAATGGCTTGACTTTCTCCAATATACCGAAATTAGCCACGGATGAAGACAAATCGGGTGATATGTTCGATTTGTTTTCCGATGATTCCTCCATATTTCGCCGGAGATCCGAGTAACAGTATATAATGATAATCAGGAGTTGCAATGACAAAAAGCTAAAGGATCTGTTGAATCGCAAACGAGATAATTCGAGAAGGGATTAGACTTACCAATTGACAATAATAGAAACAAAATAGCGATAATGACGAAAGCATTGCGAGAAGACGATGGAAAATTTTTCCGAAGCTTCTTCTTCAATTCTTCAGGGATTAGACGATTGAGACGACATGAAGGGAATACAATTGATCTGTCGATCCAAATCACACTGTCGGTCTGTTGTTTCTTCGATTCATCATTGACGAGCTGGACATTAGGGAGTGTTAATGGCTGGAGGTGGGATGAAGGTAGGAGAGAGGCGAGATGATGAGATAGAGAGAGAACGGGGGAAGGGGAATGGCTTGACATTAGGTTATCTCTAAAATGCCTCCAATTCATGTGAAATAAGATGCCCCCACCTCTTTTTCCCTTAGTTATTTACAAAAATGCCATAAATCATCCTAACCTTCAATTATTTTGATCTAACGACCTTCGTTTGGTTTTCGGGTTCTCAGGAAACTTTGAGCTCTCAAATGATCCGTCCTCTCTCTCTGTCTCTCTCTCTCTCTCTCTCTATATATCTATATTATATATATATATATATATATATATATATATATATATATATATATATATATATATATATATATATATATATATCCGTCGATACGTCCTGCAATATGCACTTGAATTCCTTTTGTATCTGTTTGTTCAGTTAATTCTATAGCCTTCTTCATTGCTTTGCGAAAAGAAACTCTATTTTTTAATTGGCCCGCTATAAATTCTTCAAGAATATTAGGGTTTCCATAAGGCCTTTCAATTCGTGTGATAGCAATGTTAAGTTTTCTATTTACAGAATAAAATTCTTTTTGTAAATTCATCTGTAATTCTTTGATTCCTCGGGGTCGACTTTCAATTAAGATTTTTGGAAATCCCATATAGATTATGATTTGGATCAGGTCGATTCTTTTTTGAATCTCTATACGTGCAATTCCCTCGACGCCAGAAGATGTTTTCATATTTTTTTGTACATAATTATGGATATAAGTTCTTATTTTTTATCTTCTTGCAGACCCTCAGAATAATTTTTTGGTTGTGCGTACCAAAGGGAATGATGACCTTGGGTTGTACCAAGTCTGAAACCAATTGGATTTATTTTTTGTCCCATGTTCCCCCATTACTATACATATCATAATACGACATAGTTGTATGCTTTTTTTTTTTCGATTTAGGTTTTACAATAGTTATATGGCAGGTAGGTTTTTGTATCGCAAAACTACGCCCTCGAGCGCGAGGTTTTAATCTCTTCACAATAGTACCTTCATTGACTTCAGCTTTACTAATGACTAAATTTACTTCATTCGAACCCATATTGAAACTAGCATTTGCTGCTGCAGAATAAACTAATTCAAAAATTGGATAACATGCTCGATAAGGCATGAGTTCTAATATCATAAGTGTTTCTTCGTAGGAACGCCAACGAATTTGATCAATTACCCTTCACGCTTTGTGAGCAGACATATATATATGTTGACCTAAAGCGTATACTTCTGTTGTTCTCTTATTTAACATAAAGTTCGCCTCCTACTAATCAATGATAAATATCTATATATTATTATACATAAACAAACGTTTTTTACCGACGCGATCTATTATCGCTTTTTGCATGGCCTTGGAAATTTAAAGTAGGTGCAAATTCTCCCAAATTGTGTCCTACCATACGATCTGTTATATAAATAGGTAAATGTTCCTTTCCATTATGGATAGCAATAGTATGGCCGATCATTATGGGTATAATGGTAGATGCTCGGGACCAGGTTATTATTATTTCTTTTTCTGCTTTTGTGTTAAGCTTATTTATTTTTTTTAATAAATTATTCGCTACAAATGGATTTTTTTAGTGAACGTGTCACAACTTCCTCCTATTTTTTTGTTTTGTAAAGACGAAGAAAGAAATTCTATTTTCTCTCCTATTTACTACGGAGACGAAGAATCAAATTATCACTATATTTATTCCTTTTTCTACTTCTTTTTCCAAGTGCAGGATAACCCCAAGGGGCTGTGGGTTGTTTTCTACCAATTGGGGCCCTCCCTTCACCACCCCCATGTGGATGGTCTACAAGGTTCATAACTACTCCTCTTACTACAGGGCGCTTACCTAGCCAACGCTTAGATCCGGCTCTACCCAAACTTTTCTGGTTCACCCCAACATTCCCCAATTATCGACTGTTGCTGAGCAGTTTTTAGATATCAAACGGACCTCCCCAGAAGGTAATTTTAATGTGGCCGATTTCCCTTCTTTTGCAATCAGTTTCGCTACAGCACCCGCTGCTCTAGCTAATTGTCCACCCTTTCCAAGTGTGACTTCTATGTTATGTATGGCCATACCTAAGGGCATATCGGTTGAAGTAGATTCTTCTTTTTTATCAATCAAAACCCCTTCCCAAACTGTACAAGCTTCTTCTAAAGCATACAGATTTCTGGATGTAGATGGTGATATCTATACAGATGGATCTTATATATATATATATATATATATATATATATATATATATATATATATATATATATATATATATATATATATATATGGTATAATGAAGTACCACATGGGTGGATATATAGGAATCAAAATCTGCCGAATCACTCATGTTATGATCTTCTACATCCTAGGTCTTCCCGTTCCATCATCTGGCTTATGTTCTTCATGTAGCATTCAGACCGAATGACTTTATGAAATTACGTTGATACTTCCACATATTATGGGTAACGTAGGAGACATCTCTATCCCCCCCCCTCCGGGAATCTTTAGAATTACCACTGCTTAGCTTTCAATTCGCCTCTGACCATCAAATGAAATGTGAATAATCCGTCCTCTTCTCTTTGAAAGAAGGGGCGCTTCCGGTTCCGTCGGTGCTTGAAACAATTTTTTCTTCTCCATATTACTATATCTCTAGAATCAATAATTTTATATGAGGAACTACTGAACTCAATCACTTGCTGCCGTTACTCTTCAGTTTTCTGTTGAGGTCTATCCTCTAGATGTACTCAAACTGGATCAGTTATATATATATATATATCTTTACTATATTATCAAACATATTGTCATTTTCTTGAAAATTAAGAGGTACAATAGGTATTATGTAACACCCTGAATTTAGAAGGTCGGAAAAGAGAAGAAAACCTCAAATGAGGAAGTGACTCATCGAGTAGATGGGTGACTCGACGAGTAGGAGCGCGATTTGGTCGCGGGTTTAGTGACCTACTCGACGAGTCAGAAGACTGACTTGGCGAGTTGGCCAGGTTTGGGGAAAACCCTAAATGCGGGCCTTGTACCCTATTTAAGGAACATTATAGCCTTCATTAGCCTCCTTACTACCCCCCTCAAGTCCAGAAATGAAACCCTAGCCATGCAACACCATTCTTGAGCATTGTGAAGCTAAAAGTTGTGTTGGTGGTGCACTTCTTGGAAGATTGGAAGCAAGGAACGAGGATGAGAGTTTAGATCCAGCATCTACTTCATTTTGGCAGTTAATAGAAGGTAACAAGTTGTTACCTTGAGCATTCATTTGATAGATCTCTTCATCTTGAGTTTCATGGCCTTTTCTATCATATTGGTGGCTAGTGTTTGCATGGGGCACGATATGAAGTTTGCAACTTCAGATCTGGACTCCCCAAGGTCCCTAATGCATTAAAGTTTCAAGCTTTTAAGACATGAAGCCCTCCTCCGTAGTAAAACCCTTCATTGTAGCTTAGTTTTATCCTTTGGGAACTATTCACACGTAAAGGTTGTAACTTTACGTGGAAAGCATGCTCTAGGAGGATGGATCTACCTTTGGGAGAAGCTGTTTGGATTGGAAATCGTCTATATAGATTGAGACATAGAGGGACTCGGTGAGTCACTTATGGGACTCGGCGAGTCAGTCTGCTTTCTTGCCCTAGAATCCTTCTGTTAAAGGGTATGAGTTGAGTTGGTATGGGACTCAGTCAGTCTGGGTCCATAGCGGGTATGAAGATCATCGTACTCGGCGAGTTCAATGAGGAACTCGGCGAGTCTAAGGCAATCTTCTTAGTTTATGAAGATGGAATCGACGAGTTGTTCATACAACTCGACGAGTCATAGTCTGTACATTCATAAGAGGGAGATGAACTCGACGAGTTCAAGGATGAACTCGGCGAGTCGGTTGAAGATGGTACCGATTGTAAGACTGAAGGAGAACCCGTCGAGTGCTTGCTAGACTCGACGGGTAGGATCGGTGGTTGTATTGAGTTGGATAAGCATGGACTCGACGAGTTGGTAGACCAACTCAGCGAGTCAAGTCAACTGGAGGTTGACTTTGACCAAGTTTGACCAGGGTGGACTTTTGGAATATTGTGGTCTAAATGTTACTTTGGGTATTGATAGTTCGGGGAGCCAAAGGATCAGCAGTTCATAAGTTGCCAGTTAGCAGTCATAAGTGTTCAGCTAGTCTTCAGCAGTGCGAGGTGAGTCTCCTCACTGTGTGCATGGGTCTACGGCCATAATGCCGGCCCATTATGTTTATTCTTATGGTTATGTGTACTAGGAAGACCCGGGGGTTAGCCCTAGGAACTTATTGTGATTTGTTCGGATTTAGATTCGTTACCGGGGTTAGCCCGATGCAGTTTATATGTTCCGGACTTCGGTCCGATGCCGGGTGGTACCCGAGGCAGTAGTGGATTTGTAGTTATACTTGTTGTCTTTGTGATACATGTATGTGTTGGATAAGGTGTTTAAGTCCATAACTATTTCTGGTATGTACTTGACCCGATTTGGCATGGTCCATTTGGGTTGCATGGCATCATGCATTTTGATAGACTAAAATGAGAGAAATAACACTTATGGTTTATTAATATATTATAAGTTCTAATATATTAATAATATTATTTAATTAGTATTGATCAAGAATTAATTTGGAATTAATTAAAGTGATCAAAAGAAGACTAATTAAATATATGGGTTGATTGTGTAAATCACTCATACTTGTATAGTGGGCTAATGCTCCATGGATTATCAAGTTGGGCTAAAACCCATAGGATGCTCCATGGTGGTTATAGAACCCATGGGTCATGGAAATGAAAGGTCATGACAATTAGGGTTTACATGGTGTAACCCTTATTGTAACACACTATATAAGGACCCTTATGTTCACCAAAATCGGCACTTAAGCAAGAAAGAAGAGGGCTAGCCGATTTCAAGTAGTGTGACATTTCTCTCAAGTTTATTCCAAGTGCATTTGGTGTTGTGTGAGACATTTGAGGCATCACACTTGAGGTGCTAGGCTCACAAGGTTTTTCAAGAAATCCAAACTACTACAAGGTATGTTCTCTAGCTAACTTTTATGTTTAAAAGTTCCTCATGTATGCTAGATAGGATTATGAACCTTGGAAAAAATATTTTGCATGTATCTTAGTCAAACATAGATCCAAGGTTTCTAGGTTTGCATGTACACCTTAGGAGTGTTAGAATGCTCAAAACCCTTCAGTGGTATCAGAGCCTAGGCTTGTTTGTTTGATACTTGATGCAAAATAGCTGAAAAAGTCGAAATTCTTGCTGTCTGCACATGGGACTTGCCGAGTTCATGGGGGATCTCGACGAGTCCAAGTGTATCTTCAACCAACTCGGCGAGTCAGCTCTTGCACTCAACGAGTTGGCCTAGCAGAGTGCAGATTTTCGATTTTTGCTGCTGGAAATGGACTAGAAACATTACCCTAAACTGTTTTGGTGTTTTAAAACTTGTTTTAGATGGAGTAATGGCTGTTTTAATCCATTTACAATGGCTAATATCAAAATTCCATGTTTATATGTGTTCATATGTTCTTGAAATTTTGATATGAATATTCATGTTCTTATGAGTTCTTGCAAGGTCATAGGAATTATGTGCTATTGATTGATAGTTAATTCATGATCATGATGTGTTTTAATGGAGTCCATAACTTGTTCTCAAGTTATGGATAACCAAAAAGTCACTTTGTAATAAATCCATTAAAAGAACACATAAGTTACAAAAAAAAATGAAGAGTCTTCATTTTTAATAAACAATAACTCATAAGTTATGAATTGAAAAGTTTTGTAAAGTTACATAACTTGCCCTCAAGTTTTGGAACATGTAAAGTCATCTAGTAAACTTTAGTTCCAACCCCTAGAATTTTAAAAGTTAAAATTCAACCCTTATACTTTATAATATTATAAGTTTAATAACAATTATATATGTATAAGAACAAAGTCGTTTTACCGTTAGTAGGCCTCATTCACGAAGCCGGCCTATAAGGGGGGGTATAAGGTTGTTGCCTATAAAATGGCAGCTTAATGGGTGTCCACTCTCACCCACCGCTTCCTTGACTGGTGGAGGGTCGTTAGCCGAACGGGTAAGACAAGGACTTTAAATTCTCATTAAAAGTATGATGAAAAATAAAGTAACTAAATGTTTTTATAAATTCCCAATCTTAGTTACTTTAGGAAAAATGTGAATAAGGTGCTAACCCATGAAATTACACTTTGCACTTTGATTAAGTCGTTAGTAGAGCGTGTGTGGTTAACCGACACACTAACCTGGACTTAACAAGGTAGGTAAAGGGTAACTTAATATTTATCATAGTATCGATGGAGCGCGTGTGGTTAACCGGCACATCGATTGAGGGGTAAATATTAAGGTTACCAAGTAATTTTCATGGTTACTTCACACCTTGTTTTGTGATCCTCGGCATCCCAGTCACAAAACCTGAAGGGCACACTCGAGATTGAAACATGCCATTGAAAAGTTCAATGATTCTCAAAAGAATCTAGGAGTTTCTAAAAACCAATTAAAACCTAAAAATTTCGTTTTTTCATGGTGGAAATTGGTGAATCGTCATTCACCTACCTTTCAAATATGTTATAGCTTAGATTACGACATCCCTCTTCTAAGTTATAATATATTGTGATTGGATCCTAGCCTTAATATTACATTTGGGTGTTTTATTAAGGATTATCTTTATATCTAATCTAAACTTGTCTTTCTTCTTTTTCAGATGCCTTCCAACAATGTTGCTTCTGGCTCAAACCCTACCGGCTCCTTCTCTCTCATGAATCTTTGTGGGAGAGTCATCTTTGATGGATCCAACTTTATGGATTGGATCAGGAACATCAGGATGGTCACACGCTATGAGGACAAGGAATATGTCCTCGACAAGGAGCTTAAAGAACTCGAGCTGACTGCTACTCCTGAGGAGGTCGCTGAATATCAGGCCCATGAAAGAGATGCTACCAAAGTGGCATGCATCGTGTTGGCCACTATGACAGCCGAGCTCCAAAAGTCCTATGAGGACTACTATCCTTTTGAGATGCACCAGGATTTGATGGACCGCTACCATCAGAGTGCTCGTCAAGAGCGATATGAA